GTCTATTTTGTGGATTCTAGCCTCTCTTGCATTCCTTATCCTTCTGGGACTTGTTCACTTGTATTCCTTTCAATAGACTCTGGCAGATCAGTGGAATATGTCCAGAGGTCCACTGACTTCTTGTTTCTCTCCTTCCATCTCTCCACCTCAGTCTGTTGTAGTGGTTCAATCATTCTCACACAACCTTGAACAATGCTCTTCTTCTACCTTGCCTGAGCTTACATCTCTTCACAGACATCTATCTATCTAGACTGGGTATGGTTCTGGATACCTTCACTGCTTCCAGTATTCAGTAGTTCAGTGGTCTTGCCACCATATTCTGTCACATCTAGCTGTACATGTAATTCATTATGAAAATTTCTCTGTCATTTTTTTACACCAGTCAACGGTAGCTACATGTTCTTGAGGTTTCTGCTTTCTCACTGTAGAGCACCTCTTTTGGGTCCATGATAATTGCATCCAGCTGTCATCTTGCTATGTCCCAGGAACTTTGAACTTAGTAGCTGATCAGTAGCTATCTTGCCTGGACCAGATCCTTCCAATAGAGAGGTTCTTACATCCTCTGGTGTTTCACTGGATTTGTTCCCACTTTGCAAATCCTCTTATTAATTTCTTAGTGATTCCTTTCAACATCAAGCTTCCACTTATTTCATTATATTTACAGACTCTTCAGCCCTATTAGTAGATGCTCTGATTCAGAACTGGTACAACTTCTTTTTGTATGTCTTTCCTCTTTTTTTCTTCCCAGGATGCTATCTTTAATTTGAAGCACTCTTTGTTGGGTTCTTCTTATTGCACCCCATTGACCAGCTCACATATTATTTTTCTCCCTTTACTTATAGGCAATCCAAGAGTCACCATCTCTTCCATCTTGGAGGTTCCTCTTATGTCAGTCTCAAATATTCACTTTCACTACAAAATGCCATGCTTTAATCTTCATGTAGGGCTTTTATCTGGTCTCTTGCAAGACAGGCAAGATTTTTAACAGAATAACTTGTCTTCTTGCTCAGACTTGTCAGCCATCCACCTTTGTAATTTATTAGCACGAGTTAATGATTTATCCTTGTTGTTTCATCTGCCACTGCCTTCTTCCAGGTTGTCTGATTCTCTCATCTCATTTCCTTTTTTTTTACCTGATTTTGTGAGAGCAATCTATCCATTTTCATGATTGCTGCCTACAGAATGGCTTGGTTGACAAATTTCTGTCATTTCTCTGGCCATTGTCCTATTCATTCCCAGGTTCTTACAGTCCTCTTCAGGGCCTTTCTAATTACTCATCCAGTTCCTCTTCCAGACTGAAACCTCTGTTTAGTTCTCAGGGTCCTCATAAATCCACCATTCAAACCTTTGGCCACCTGTTCTGTATATATCTTTTATTACATATTTTATCTTCCTTCTTGCCTGTGGGAGATATCACTATGATATTTGTGCCTAAGATGCTACCTGCTCTGTTTTTGATAGGGACAAGTCGATTTTATTTCCAGACTGCTCCTTCCTTACCAAGACTTGAGGATGCCCAGAAGGGTAATCTGATGTTTTCTCCATGGATCTTGCTCCATCCACATTAATGAACTGGTTTGTACAGTTGATCTGTCTTGTTTATCATTATGTCCCCAACCACCTAAGTGTAGGTTTCAGTATTTTTCAGGTTACTTCTCATTGCATTTGCCACTTGACTCTCATGTTGCATATAACTATTTATTTATCCTGGACAAAATCCCATCCTCTATGCTGGAACTCCTTAATCCTATCATGACGTATCACATGTCGAAGGCCATGTCATTGCGTTTGTTTACTTGCATT